TATTGCAGATGAGCAAACGCTCTAAAAAAAAAACGTCTTGCAGATGTTAAATAGACGTCTCCGTGATTTACGTGTACACACATTACTTTTAACAGACAATCAGATCACGTTAAGTTTTTCTGCCCGATACAAACCCATTATAAAGAAAACGCTTAACGTAATGGATGAAGACAGTGATAAAAAGATCAAATCTGGTATACAGTTTATTAATAAAATATACTACGCACAGAAAAGCAGAATAGCCCAGAATATGAACGGAATGTGCAAAGTTTCACATTATAACGGTTTTCTACGGGGGAGAAAATGCTAAACGTGCAATATAGCTTGTTGAGTTCATATTCTAGGCTCTGCTTGTCTGTAAAAAGTATGCTTTAATAATAAGGTGTGCACTGAATTTGGCCCTACAATGTCACTGTTTTAGTATATTAAGCCACATGTTTTTCCTGTTAACCGTTTTAGAATTTGCCAAATCCATGCCTTGAACTAAGCACTGACTGAATTTCTTTGAGTTTAAGTTCAAAATAAAACTCTTTAGAGGCTCCGTATATTTCTTTATACTTGAGTTCAGGTTCAAAATACAACTCTATGAACCGCTCCATTGTGGACGTACGGAGCTGTTTGAACTACTGCAAGCTGTAAAGTGTTTGTCCGAACTCAAGTTTTTCGATGGAATTTTTTTTTGTCCCTTTAGGGGCTCCGTAGCAGTGACTGCATGGCCTTGGTTTCCGCCAGTGTTTTTCTAATTAATTGTATGCTTACACATAAAATAAATAAATAACTATTAAAAACTAAGCCAAAGAAACTAGCTCAGAGATGGGAAAAAAAAGGTTTTGAAGAAAAAGTATCGTTTACAACTATAAATTCTTATAAGATGAAACTATTTGCAATGCTTTCTGAGATGACTAGTTAAAGTTATTTAATAAAAACAATATTCTAAAATAAATAAAAATAGTATTCTAAAATAAATTTCCAAATAAATAAATAAAAACGTGTAAGAATAAAATTAAGTATAAATAATATAATACATGTTTAAAAAAAAATCTTAAAATTATGTGAAAGCAGATGCTATTATGATGCATTATACACTTATATATATATATATTAGGGGTTGAATGACTTCTGATTTTTTGAAGTCGACTTGTGATGAAAGTCGAGTCGAAGTCGACTAGTGGCTCATGATGTCATTAATGAACAAATAAGTCTGAAGTAGGGCTGCACGATAAATCGCATGCAATATTTAATGCGCATCTTGTCAGAAAGCCGGTTCTGTAATCAGTGGTAAATCTCCATCACCTGCGGGCTTTCACGTTGAGCAGCATTAACTACACAGAGCCGCTGTTCACTGACGAGCTGCGCAAAAAATTGCACGAATATGAACGTGGTTTTGCGCAGCTCGTCAGTGAACAACTTATGTTTTAAATATCATTAAATATCGCATGCGATTTATCGTGCAGCCCTAGTCTGGAGCTGTGATAAACAGCTTGTGCACAGCTATGGCACATGACACAGCGCTGCCCACATGGCTGTTGCTCCTACTTTTTTTATCAGTTCTTTTGTCTTGAAGTCGTTATATTTCTCACAGATTTCTGCTCGTTCTAAATCAGATACAGATAAAGTAGCACAGTAAAGATTACATTAATATGAACGCATTAGTGAGAGCGATTGCGTGTGTGAATTAATTCTACCTGGCAGCGTCTCTCTACTAGTAGTGAAGCTGTGGAATTTAGTTTTTAAGGTATATATGCTTGAACTTTTCAGTTTCTAAGCTATTTTATTGAGAAATCACAGAACAGTGTTGACAATACACTTCCGCGCTGAATTATTCTGTACGCTATACTGTCTGTAGCCTATGTTTGTGTGTTACAGTGCAGCAGCGCATTACATTAGAACGGCGATTAACTTACCTGTGCAATAAGCTGTTTAAAACGTGCATTCTCCCGTTCAATTTCGAGCATCCAGTGATATAATCTCACATGTCTTGTGGAGCGCGTTCAGAGTATGCATTTATTTGTCATTTGAACTGTTTGGAAACGGAGCGTAAATTTGGAAGTCCTTCAAAGATTTCTTATCCTGTTACGTCCTCTATAGGACCAGCGACTAGTCGACGTCAAGCTTTTAAGGGTCATGGCAGAGCATTGAAGTCGACTAGTCGGTGCAACCCCTAATATACAGTATATACTGTATGTGTAAGGAATAATTGACTCTGGGTTGTTGAATTATTAGAAAAATAATGCACACCATGAAGTGGAGTTACACCTCGGGTGTGCATTATTTTTCTAATAATTCAATGGCCCAGAGTCAATTATTCCGCTTATACTACGGTTACCACACCTCAAGACATCGATCAGATTATATATTTAAAGGGATTCGTCCGGTTTTTGTACTTAAATCTATTATGAGTAGGATTATTTCTTCTGCATCTCATCCAACGCCTCTTTTGCTAGTTCCAAATCGTAATTTTAAAGCTGGTAATGGAGGCTTGAGCCGCTGATAGCATTCTACTACAGTTATTAATGAAGTTATTAGAAAGAGAGCGAGAGAGACAGAGACACACAGAGAAAGAGAAAGAAAGAGAGAGAGCATGTGTGAATTAGGCTACCTCTGTGTGTCCCTCAACAGTGTTCTACAGCAGCGTCTCTAAACAGCGCTGATATTACCTCGCTAGTGAGAAATGTAATGTGTAGCCTTTAAGTTGCTACACTATATAGGCTAACTGATCAAATCATCAGGGCAGCGCTGACAATATCTTTTTGTGCAAACTTTATAAATAATTATATAAAATGAATAGATTTAAAAATAAACATTTGAATATAATTAATTTTGAATATAACATGTAAATGAATAAAACAGTTATACTGAATGTTATAATGAATTATCTTTATGATTTTCTTGGTATCTTGATTTCTAAAAATCGTAAACTATTAGAAATGTTTCTCTGGCAACTTACTGAAATAATTGTAAGTGACTAATATTACTAAATAAAAAAAAAATTAAAAGCTGAATTGGAATAGTTAAAAATATTTAAAATTAATAAAAATGACGAAAGCACATGAAATTACTAAAACTTAAATGAAAACTGAAAATATTATTCAAAATATTAAATATAGTATTATTAAACATTATAACAAAATACTGTAATACTAAAATAACACTGCTAACTGAAATATTTTTTTAGGGATTATGGGTAATGTAGTTCTTCAGTGGGAATTTGTCAATTAAGCATGTTTTTTTCTAACTGAAATCACAATGATTTGTAGCTACTACAGAAGTATAAAATGTGTGGTAGCTCATGATAGTTTAAAGGCATGTACGTAATTGTAACAAATCATTTTCTCGGGATCGAATGAATTGAATTTCCAGAAGCTGACTGTCGCGTTCCATAGCATGTTTATCAAGGCATGAAACAACATCCTGAGTGTTAGAAACGTAATTAAAAGGTCCTAACGAATAAGAATAGTTTGGTGTCAGCGCCCATCATGGTACAGTATCTGGCGTTGGTACATGCTGAAATCAGCACACTCTATTATTTAGGTAATTGCTTTTCAGTACCGGCACAGAGGAGAAAAAGCTGAGCCATTCGTCTCGTATGCAGATAATGAGCAAATGTCCTTATGCTAATGAAATGTCTTTTAAAAGATTGTTGTGGGACATTCATTCTGATCCTTAACTGTGCTATTAATACCTATTTGCCCTTCCGTTTCTCGAGATGGCAACCCTCTCCCTGTGATGAAATGTAATTTTTCATTTCTTCAGGTAGGGATGAAAAATGGATGATCTTAGAGGTACAAAAGCCGGAGTCTAGATTGCCTGCAGCTCGCAAACAGGTATTACAAAATAGAACCATTACGGCAACATCAGGCTGCAAATGAATTTGAAATTGAGTGGAAAACCATGCATGCGGAGGGTTAGACTCTTAGCTGCCTTGAAGGGAATTCTAGCGAGTAAAATATGCACGCCTTAAAAAAGGGCAAAAGTAAATGAAAGAAGGGGTGACACTTAGACCAATACACTTTCAATTGCCTAGACCAAAAAGATGCAAATCAGGTTTTCACTAAGAAAGATAGAGCCTACAAGTAAAAAAATATCTATATTAATGCTGCTACAGGAGTACATTCAATCCCCACAGAATGTGATTCCATTGGCTGAAAGATCTGGCTTTGGGATTTTTGACCAAAGCAAAATAACAAAACAAAAACGCAACAAAACAAAACTAAAAATAAAGCAAAGGGTCTGAATATTTAGGACCATGTGATATTTCAGTTTTTCTTTTTTAATAAATCTGCAAAAATGTCAACAATTCTGTGTTTTTCTGTCAATATGGGGTGCTGTGTGTACATTAATGAGGAAAAAAAATTAACTTAAATGATTTTAGCAAATGGCTGCAATATAACAAAGAGTGAAAAATTTAAGGGGGTCTGAATACTTTCCGTACCCACTGTATATACATACACACACACACACACTCAACTAAATTTATGCAAACTAGATAGATAGATAGATAGATAGATAGATAGATAGATAGATAGATAGATTAAGTGATCTTCTTTTTTTTGTTATTTGTGAAATTATCCAGCAAAAAGTGAAAACTCTGCTAGTGAGAATTGTAGTGAAACCTAAACAAAACAAATTTCAAAACAAACTTAAACCTAAAATTTGGAATGAAAATTGTAAATGCTGCCTTGGCAATGAACACTATAAAAAGTCAATTAAATCTAAATAATAATAATAATAATAATAATAAATAAATAAAGAGAGAGCTTGACCGTCTTTGTCATTGTATGGGAAAGCTGCAACATTTTTCAAAATTCCTCTTTTCTGTCTTTCAAAGACAAAATAAGAGCTTTTGTGTTTAGAACGAGATGAGGGCGAATATAAAAAACCGACAGAACTTCAATTCTCTCTGTGAAATATCGAGTAAAATCAACAAGCGCAAATGGCATGCAAGTACTCGAAATCGAAAAACCGATGCACATTGTAAAAAGTATTAAAACAAGCATTACCTTTTCTGCAGATTGTGCCGTCCCAAAGAAAATAGGAATGAAGGCGAGCCACACAATGCATGTGGTGTACATGGTGAAGCCGATGGGTTTGGCTTCGTTGAAGTTCTCCGGAACGCCTCGCGTCTTGATGGCGTAAACCGTACATGTTACCATCAGCAAGATGCTGTATCCTAGAGAGCAAATTATTTGTAGGTCCGTAATGTCACACTTGAGAACCCCTCGGGCCTTATCAGGGTTTATGGTCTTCTGTTCGTCGTAATCGATTATGGTGTTTGGAGGATCCACTCCGAACCATATGAGGACCCCTAAGAGCTGGACGGAGATGAGGCTGGACGTGATGGCTAACTGAGATGTTGGGCTGATCAGTTTAGGTGGAGAAACCGACGTCTTCCCTTCCTCAAAGATGCGGTAAATTCGATTGGTCTTAGTGAGGAGCGCCGCGTAGCTAATACACATTCCCAGTCCAAGGAAGATTCGTCTGAAGGAGCAAACGGCAATGTCTGGAGTGGCGATCATTACAAACGTGATGATGTAACACAGGAATATCCCGGTCAGCAGAAAGTAGCTGAGCTCCCTCCCAGACGCTCGTACGATCGGGGTGTCGTTGTAGCGGATGAACGTTGCCATAACAAAGGTGGTGGCGATGATGCCGAGCATAGCCAGGAAGACGGGAATGACGGCCCAGGGCGAATGCCACTCCAGCTTGACGATCGGGATGGGCTGGCAGCCAGTGCGATTGGCGTTCGGATGCATGTTGTAAGCGCAGAGCTTGCAGGAGGTCTCGTCAAACTGGTACTGGTAGCCGTCGCAGGGCTCGCAGTGCCAGCAGCACGGCATGCCTTTCACCATCTTCTTGCGTTGACCCGTCTTACAGGGCAGACTGCAGACCGAGCTGGGTATTTCCATCTCACCATTGGGCCACTGCATCTCATCGATCTACAAAAAAATGGACACAAATCAGCATTTGGGTCAATGACACTGACATTCTTTTTTTCGACTATATTTTTACAAAAATATATTAAAAATGAAATTCATTGATTATATATACTGACTGAAAAACAATTTTAATGATGAGTTTTACATTTCTGAATTTAAATTGAATTTTATGTTTTTTGGCGTGTATGGAGTAAAAAAAAAGTCAGAATGACAGATCTGTCTTTATAGGATAATGAAGGGGAAAAAATCATTAAAAATAAGTTCATGAAAATAATTTCTTATAAAAATAAATACATGAATAAAAAATTTATGAAAAAAATTTAATGAATAAAAAAATGTTTTAACAAAACTTCACTGCTTACATTAAAAAAAAGAAATGTTGTGTGGTTCAACCAACATTAAGAAACATGCGATGAACAAAAAAAAAAAAACAGAACAAAACAAAAGCAGCACAACATAAAACACACACAAGAAACCCAAAACATACCAAAAACAACATGAAACACAAAAGATCAAAAAAAAAAAACATGAAACAAAAACAAAAACACAAACCAACAATATGACACAAGAACACAAAACAAAATTAAATACTCAACAAAACAAAAACATCAACGTGAAACAACAAAAAAAAAACACAAAACACAAGAAAAACAAAACACAACACACAAACAAGAATACAACTCAACATGAAACATACACAAAACAAATCAGGAAATGATATCATAGAGAGGACCTCTGCAGACTCTCTCGACTGTGAGCCAACGTCAGTAAGTCTTTTAAAATATCATATTTGACTGGTACTGTATTTCAAAGTCATGTAAAGCTCTGGAGTATTCAAGAATCTATATTACGATTTTAAAATAAATAGTTTAAGAGCAACAGAACCAACATGCCCCTCTTTTTTATGTTAACAAGTTACCTATGAAAGGGCGTAAACACATTTAAGTGTGATCACTTAAAATGATACATAATTTTGAGCCTGCTTATTGCTTTCCATCCACTCCCTTTTACCTCCTTTAATATGCACTTTGAATTTCATGCCTTTCATTCAAACATTGCTGATTGCAGCGTGATTACCAATGATTTATTTTAGCCCTTTATGGCAACAATCACCATGGAGACGGCCACATTTGAATGAAAACAGGCAATAAGAGGGTGGTGAGAGAAATGTGGGAAATGCCACTTTTTGGAATGCATGAATAAATCACATCACACAATAAAAGAGCACTAAAGAACACTGAGTTTTAATCTCTTATAACTTCACAATGACTACAGGTGTGGATTTAGTGTAGAAATAAACAAGCATTTGCTTTCAACAAGAGGCCAGAATTTAAAAATACAGGATTAGAGGAACCTGCATTGTGTGTATTTGAAGGAATAGTTTGCACAAAATGTTTTCTTACTTTTTGAATGGACCAGCCCTTTAAGAAAGCACTGTCATCTAAATGTTCATGCTTTATTAAACAATGCAAAAGAAATCACTGCTAAAAAGGAATAGTTTGACCAAAAACAACACTAACACCCAAAACCTGCACTGATGGCTTCTCCAGAGGACAGCTAGAGACAATTAGTGCCAGAGAAACATTCTATTACACCTGGCTATTACTGGGTCGTGTTTGCTTTCAGGACCGCAGAGCATTTCACTATTTCCGTGGCAACGGTGTGAATGACGGACTGGCACCTGGCGATGCCAGAATGAAAAGCTACATCAATCCAGATGACGGACTCCAGAGCCCGGCTGATTGGACACGGCCAGCATTCTGCCGCCCAAACAAAAGCAGAAAGACAGCACAGTTAATTTAGCGACTGAATCCCATCTGGGGGACAGGTGGAAATGCACAAGAAAGAATGAGGACTTTTTTTCTTGTTCATGGTCTCTGAGTCTTATTTGAAATCCCTTGCACCATCTTGTAACCTTTCGTGCTGTCGTTTTCTATAGAACTCTCTCTTGCAACAATGCAGTGATCATTTCTCTTTTATCAAATTTAAGAAATTACTCCATTTTAATATACAGTTATTTGAATTAAAAGAAGAGGAATTTACTCAATTGCAAATTGAATGAAATTCAGCAGCTAAACAAATTGGCTAAGAAATGTTCTTCCACTATGGAAAGTATATAAACAAAAAGAAAACAAAAAAACAACACACACCAAAACAAAACTAAAAACAACAACAAAATGAAAATAAAAATAAAACAAAAATAAAATATCAAAATAAACAATAAAAAAACACCAAAACAAATCTAAAAACACCTCAACAAAACAAAACTAACAAACAAACAAAAAAACCCACCAAAACAAAACTAAAAACCAAACAAAAAAAGCTAAAAAAATAAAAATAAAAAACACACCAAAACAAAACTAAAGTTGAAACAAACTACAAAACAGAAGGCAAAAAACACACCAAAACAAAACTATATCAAAATACAGCAAAATAAAAACAACAACAACACACAACAGAGGCAAAAAACACACCAGAAATAAAGTAAAAACAAAATGAAAACACAAGATGACCCCCCTCCGACCAAAGCAAAATAACAAAACAAAAATACAACAAAACAAAACTAAAAATAACAACACATCAAAACTAAAATCCTAACAAAAAGGATAAAAACACACCAAAACGCACAAAAAAAAAAACACCAAAGCAAAACTAAACCCAAAATACAACAAAACTTTTAAAAAAGGGGGTGATGTTATTGTTATTACAAAACAACAATATTTAAGTTTCTTCAGGTAGGGATGAAAAATGGATGATCTTAGAGGTACAAAAGCCGGAGTCTAGATTGCCTGCAGCTCGCAAACAGGTATTACAAAATAGAGCCATTACGGCAACATCAGGCTGCAAATGAATTTGAAATTGAGTGGAAAACCATGCATGCGGAGGGTTAGACACTTAGCTGCCTTGAAGGGAATTCTAGTGAGTAAAATATGCACGCCCTAAAAAAGGGCAAAAGTAAATGAAAGAAGGGGTGACACTTAGACCAATACACTTTCAATTGCCTAGACCAAAAAGATGCAAATCAGGCTTTCACTAAGAAAAATAGTGCCTACAAGTAAAAAAGATCTATATTAATGCTGCTACAGGAGTACATTCAATCCCCACAGAATTGACTGAAAGATCTGGCTTTGGGATTTTTGACCAAAGCAAAATAACAAAACAAAAACGCAACAAAACAAAACTAAAAATAACAACACATCAAAACTAAAATCCTAACAAAAAGGATAAAAACACACCAAAATGCACAAACAAAAAAAATCACCAAAGCAAAACTAAACCCAAAATACAACAAAACTTTTTAAAAAAGGGGGTGATGTTATTGTTATTACAAAACAACAATATTTAAGAGTAATTACAAACTATTTTACCCAATAACCGTGTGTCATGTGTTATTGTACACTTATTAGAGTGTCACACAGTTAACTCATAGCATTCTAATCACAACCCTGTGTCATTTTTATTTTTTTAACTGCAATTCAAATTAACTTCAATATAAGAAATCCAATGCATTCTGAATGCTGCACAATCCTGGCACACACATGAACACGTGTAGAGTGACTAAGCACAAATATCCGCACTTTTGATGAGTCTTAAAACTCTGCTATTCCCATTAGCTCCATTAAACAAGCTAGCATGATATCAGATGCTGAAGTACAATGCATGTAAAGATGAAAAACACATACATCCACACCCTCATGAGATCAGCTTGCTAGGAGTAACAGTCGGAGCAGAATCAATTATTTACCCAGAACACCAAATTATCTCTCTGATAGAACAGAGACAGCAGTGGTGCTTTAAATAATTGAAGTGCGTTCACTCAGATAATGTCACATTCAAGAAAAGACCCTGAGAATTACTCCCTGAGCCCTGTCGTCTACAGCAGGGTTTCCCAACCGGGGTGCCGCGGCACCCTGGGGTGCCGTCTGTCGAGAGCAGGGGTGCCGTGTAAAAAATCCTTTTTTAACATTTTTAAATTGCTAAAATGTTCAAAAAAGCAGCTATTATATAATATCCATTTCTGATGTCGCCAATAATTAGAGATACACCGAAATTTAGGCTGGTGAAAATTATTTCACTGCTCAGGTTTCACTTTAACTTGGTGTGACGCTCTGCGTATTATCCCGCTCTATGTGTGTGTGCTCCGCTCAGTCGCTCCACTCGTACACCGTTCATGCGAATTGGAACAGCAAAGTCCACTCAAAAATTGAGCCGACAGGAAACATCGATGTAGTACAGTATTGTTTCTGTCTGCAATAGCCCTACTGTGTTGTAACATGGTGTGGTATATGGGCACCTCTGGTAACGCTGCCCTCTCATTCATTCATCTGCTAACCGCTATGTTATGCTTGCGTGTTCTGATAATAATAGCTTTCTAGGACTAAACATTATTTGGATAATTGGTAAAAAAAAAAAATAAGTTAAATATCTTAACCCTACTGTTAGACCTACCTGAAAAACTAAAACGCAATTGATTTAATTCAAAGGCCTGTCGTTATTTTTTATTTGTGCTATCAGTATTAATTTCTTTATTTGTTCTTATTTTATTACTGACTGCTTACTTGTTATTTTTTATTCAATTCAAAGTTTGAAATCAAGCTATCTCGTGCTACTGCACCACAATTATCCCACTGTAAAATAAAATAAAAAACACTGATTGAGCAAAAATTTGCGAGATAGCTAGTTATAATGTTAATTAAATAATGTTTACACAGTGTTGGGGGTAATATATTACAAGTAACGCGAGTTACGTAATCAGATTACTTTTTTCAAGTAACTAGTAAAGTAACGCATTACTTTTTAATTTACAAGAGAATATATGAGTTACTTTTTCAAATGAGTAACGAATGTATGGACGTAAATTGACTTTCCCTTCAGCCTGAGGCTTATTCATTTCACTTTTGGTGTGGAAAGGCTTTTATATTTGCCAAAAATAGAACTTTTTATTTTAAAAACAAACAAGCAAGCCCTGTCCAGATTTAAAAAGTAATGTAACGCATTAC